CCAAGCATACTAGAGAGAGAGAGAGAGAGAGAGAGAAATATGGGTATGCTTGGTACCAAGCACAAATTTTGTGCTTAGTAGTGATGTGTCACATCCTCATCCACTCACTACCCATGTGAATTTGTTCTCATATTTGAATGAGTGGAGGAGGATTTGACACCTCATTACCAAGCACAACTTTTTGTGCTTGGTACCAAGCATACCCATATTTCTCATATATATATATATATGGGTAGGGTTATAATACACCTAGGATGTGTGTAACTTAGTTAGTTACTCCCACTTGTAAAAGTATGCAGTTTAAGTATAAATATTAACAATCAACATCGTTTATTGTGATCTATGTGTTCAAAACTTTACGAAGACCAAAAATCACATAGATAAGATTTTTCTAGTTTATAACTCTAATGACCTAGAAATGAATAGTCTGTTACGGTCTAAATTGCCCATTATTTTGAGTTGCTTGAATTATAGGATAGAACTTTCCAAACTATATGATTTTTTATCCACGCTCACTTGGTGACATGTAGATCATAATGAATGGTATTGATCATTAACATCGATGGTCAAACATGTTTTTTAAAGATAGATGTAACTAAGCTAGTTTTCTCTTTTCTCAAATACTTCTCATGGTACCAGAGCTCGTCTAAAACCCTAGAAATCAAAGTATTTCAACAACTTTTTTTTTCCTATTGATTGTAATATTTTAGTCATACATGTGACAGCGACTATAGATGAAAACCAATTAGACGACGCATGCATGTGCTTTTTACAAAACTAAAAAAAATGTGGGTGTAAATTAGAAATAATGTTTTTTTACTAGGAACCACTTTTAAAAATATATTAGTTATATAGTATATATATATATATATATATATATATATATACACACACACACTTTTTAATAATTTTATTACTTTTTCTTTTATAAACCTAGATAATGCCTTAGCAATTATAAGTGGCGAGATGTTTTTAAAAAAATTAATGAGATATCTTTTCTCTCAGCCTATAAAACTTTCGAGTAAGTTTAACAGTAGAGAGACTATTTTCTTAATCACAGCTTTTGAATGATTATCTAGATCGCTGGCAATCATTACTAATATAACTAACAACATATTTTCTTGATTGCATCTACCGTCACTTCTCATTCAAAGCAACCATATAACATAATGCATTAATAATGAGGACTAAATACAATAGAGAGTTTCTAAATCAATTTTATTCTTTTCGTTTCCTTTTTTTTTTTTTTTTTTTTTTTCTAAAATGCTAAAAGTATGGTATCCTTTATAGTATGAGCTCTAGTTAACAATGGAAGCATCTATTCGTTCAACAGGCAAGAATGTGCGTACAATATTTCATGATGGAAATCATTCGTGCATTACCTTGATATAAGAATAAAAGTTTATGCACGGGTAACAATGCGTGAAATGAGTTGTCTACAAATTTTTTCAGATGTAATGCCTACTAATATATTTGATGGCTACTCAGTTTCTCTTGATCTTTCTTCATTATGTGGAAAATACTAACATTAATTTATCATACCATCGTGAGTTGCACTTATTCTGATATTTTACGTGCAAAGAAATCATAATCATTTACTAAATAATAAATGACTATGATCGATGACCCTAACTTCAGAATCCCGTGGATATTAGTAATCATTGTTCGCTACTTCTAAAACCAAAGAGATGATCCTGGTGAGTAATGAACAGACCCAACTGCCCATTTCATCGCAAATACATGAAGGAAGAGATGATCCTGGTGAAATCACATTTCGATTATTTGCACATCCCTTCTGTCTACTCTAATAGCCCTCAATCTATAACAGACCTCAAGAATTTGCTGAATGGTTCTCTGTATCGATTCATGATAGCACAATATATCATAATATCTCCTAAGAAACGCACGAAGGAAGAACACAGGTAAAAAGGCGTATGCCAGCTAACATAAGTCCAAGGTCCCATGGAGTACATTGACGTTATTAGCTTAATGTAATATTCTGGGTTTATGCCACAAGAGGCGAAAGAAAAATGTCAACTTTACCAAGTGGAGCAACTGATAAATGCCCAGCACCACAAATTTCATGATATGATATTAAATATATAGATTACAAAGGATAGTTTTTTTTGGGGAGGATACTAATTACTGCCAACACCAACAGCCGTAATTCAACAATTAATGACCACTGTTCCCCTATAATTTATTCAATCAATTAATGAATATTTACACATAATAATATCAAAAGGCCTGATTTACCCATAAATAGAATTCCCCTTCCTTTCCCCCCTTAAAAGTAAATATCGTACAGCTTGCATTTCTCCATTTAAACATATAGAACCTGTACTTCTTGAGGCTTACATGTCTGGAAAATGGGCATGCAACTGAGTACGGGAGGATCATCCTGCACACACATCAAAATTCCTGAATAAAGAGGACAAACTAGAACCAGCATTGGCTACTAGGAAGGATTTGCAGACAGAAACAAAGAAGGAAAATGTCACAAAACCCCCCTGAACTTTGGTTGTTTTGCACAAACCTCCCAAAACTTTGTAAATTAGAGTAAGTCCCTTAGAATTTTGGGAAAATTGTGTCAATGCCCCAAAAACAATATCTTCATGTGCTGCAGCCCTTTTACTTTCCCCCCATATGGTTCAGTCCCAACAAGTGTGACATCTTGTGCTGCTGCAGCGCTCTTTTAGCAATTATTACCCACTAACTCAGCATAAAAAGTACAAAACCTTAAAATGCTCTTATCTACTCTATTCTTTCATGTTATGTCTACTTAGAGTTCGCGTTAGGCCTAATTTTATGTTAGATCTATTTAGAGTTCATGTTGGGTCTAATTTCAGCTCAATTTAATTCATATTAAGTCCAATTAAATGTTAAGTCCAATTTAAGTCTAATTTCATATTACGTCTAATTTAATTTCTTTTATGTCTAGTTTAAATCATGTTATGTATAATTCAACTTGTTTTAAGTCTAATTTAATTGGACTTGTCATGAAATTAGACTTAAAAAATTGAATTAGACTTAACATGATTTAAATTAGACTTAAAAGGAATTTAACATGATTGAAATTAGACTTAAAATTTCGTGTTAGGTCTAATAAAAGTTCGTGTTAAATCTAACTTCATGGGCCTAATAAACATTCGTGTTAAGTCTAATTTCATGTTAGGTCTAATAAAAGTTCGTGTTAGATCTAATTGGAGTTCGTGTTAGTTCTATTTCGTGTTCGTGTTAGTTCTAACTCATGTTAGGTCTAATTGGTGTTCATGTTAGTTCTATCTCGTGTTCGTGTTAGTTCTAACTCAGTTCATGTTAGTTATAACACAATTCCGTGTTGAATTAGAACTAACACGAATTGAGTTAGAACTAACTAGAACTCAATTCCGTGTTGAATTAGAACTAACACGAACTGAGTTAGAACTAACACGAACACGAAATAGAACTAACATGAGTTAGAACTAATACGAATACAAAATAAAATTAACATGAACTCCAATTAGACCTAACACGAACTTTTATTAGACCTAACATGAATTTAGACTTAACACGAATTTTTATTAGACCTAACATGAAATTAGATTTAACACGAACTTTTATTAGACCTACACAAAATTTTAAGTCTAATTTTAACCATGTTAATTTCCTTTTAAGTCTAATTTAAATCATGTTAATAAGTCTAATTCAAAATTTTGAAGTCTAATTTCATGTTAAGTCCAATTAAATTAGACTTAAAACAAGTTAAATTAGACATAACATGATTTCATGTTAGGTCTAATAAAAGTTTGTGTTAGGTCTAATAAAAGTTTAGACTTAACACGAATTTTTATTAGACCTAACATGAAATTAGATTTAACACTAACTTTTATTAGACCTAATACAAAATTTTAAGTCTAATTTCAACCATGTTAAATTCCTTTTAAGTTTAATGTAAATCATGTTAAATCTAATTCAAATTTTTTAAGTCTAATTTCATGTTAAGTTCAATTAAATTAGACTTAAAACAAGTTAAATTAGACATAACATGATTTCATGTTAGGTCTAATAAAAGTTTGTGTTAGGTCTAATTAGAGTTCATGTTAGTTCTATTTTATGTTTGTGTTAGGTCTAACTCATGTTAGATCTAATTGGTGTTTATGTTAGTTCTATTTCGTATTCGTGTTAGTTCAAACTCAGTTCGTGTTAATTCTAATTCATAAATTAAACTAGCACGAACTGAGTTAGAACTAACACGAACACGAAATAGAACTAACATGAGTGAATTAGAACTAACACGAACTGAGTTAGAACTAACACGAACACAAAATAGACCTAACACGAACTTCAATTAGACCTAACACAAGCTTTTATTAGACCTAACATGAAATTTTATTAGACTTAACATAAAATTAGACTTAACACGAACTTTTATTAGACCTATCATGAAATTAGACTTAACACGAATTTTTATTAGACCTAACATGAAATTAGACTTAACACGAACTTTTATTAGACCTAACACGAAATTTTAAGTCTAATTTCAATCATGTTAAATTCCTTTTAAATCTAATTTAAATCATGTTAAGTCTAATTCAATTTTTTAAGTCTAATTTCATGTTAAGTTCAATCAAATTAGACTTAAAACAAGTTAAATTAGACATAACATGATTTAAATTAGACTTAAAAAGAATTAAATTAGACTTAATATGAAATTAAACTTAAATTGGACTTAACATTTAATTAGACTTAATATGAATTAAATTAAACTGAAATTAGACCTAACATGAACTCTAAATAGACCTAACATGAACTCTAAATAGACCCAACATAAAATTAGGCCTAACACGATCTCTAATTAGACATAACATGAAAGAATAGAGTAGATAATGGTATTTTGGGGTTTTATAATTTTTATCATCTTTCTATGCTGAGTTGGCGGGTAATAATTGCTAAAAGAGAGCTGCAACATAAGATATCATACTTCTTGGGGCTGAACCACATGAGAAAAAAATAAAGGGGCTGCAACACATGAAGATATTGCTTTTGGGGTCTCGGCACGATTTTCCCTAGAATTTTTCTCACTTGAGCAGCACAAATGATGCTATTCGTTTGAATTGTGCATGACATGTTTTTGGAATTTTCCTCTTATGCACTTTCAAATGTTTACAGTAAGAGAGTTTTACAAGTTTTGGTATACAGATAGAACAATGGTATTTAAGAATTTTATCTTTCATATTAACACCATTTATGATAATTTCAAATACTTCATAGAGTTTTGTTTAATTTGAATTTTTTTCGGGTGGGGGTTGTGCTAAACAAACCAAAATTCAGGGGGTTTTGTGAAATTTACCAGAAACAAAGAACCTGCAGATGAGCTTTAGAGCTTTGACTTAGGAACTTCTTTTCTTGGCTTCAACTTCCTCGTAAGAGACTCTTGAGTCAACGATACCACAAGCTGTACAATGACAGAAACATGACCTAAGGCTCTTAGCATGAACTAGGCAGTTTGTGACATGGAAATAGAATTACCTCTCCTTTCCTGTTAAACATCCGGCCAGTACTAAACCCTCGACCTCCATGGGCAATAGGGCTCTCTATCTACAAAACATGAAATTTCAACATGAATAACATAGACCATGTACAATTGTATTGAGTAAATATGCAATATGTCTAATATGCTTACCACATATAGCAGCCAGTCGTCAGCTCTGGGAGGCCTATGGAACCACATCCTAAGGAAAGGAGAACAAAAATGGATGTTAAAAGTCACTCAGATCCTGTTGATGGTTCCTTTATGAGGTAAATATTGAATGTACTGCATTACAAAAATTATCTATGATAGATCATAAGTTACTTGTGTAGTTGTGTCAAGTTTGAGGATGATAATTCTCAAGGAAGAAAGGAACAAGGTAAAAGGTGAATATAGCCAAGCATTTGGCTGCCGATAAACGATGACCTCACACGAATTTGGAAAAAAGGATTAGTTTCAGCTCCTCCTTACCAAAATCATGCACAAGGCACATGGATCTTTTGCTCAAAAGTAACTCGGACAAGTTACATGAATGAAACTAAATCCACAAAGAGGTTTTATAAGATAAAAAGATCTTTTGCCCTAGTTGGACATCTGAAGAACATAATCAAGTTTAGAATCATAGCACTAATTTTCAAGAGCGTAAAAAATGGAGCTCATTCTACGGTAGGGAGATTAAAGTTCATTGATACATACGCGTGATCCAAACTGAGTGTTGATGTCTTCTGACCCTTCTTTCGGTGAGGATCTACACTAACACCAGCAAATATGAGATCTGAAGCATATGCTACGACACATCTGCAATACAAGATGCAGTGTACACATCACTTAAAGGACAATAAAGTTGGAAAGCTCTGAGATAATCAAAACTAAGAATGTTAAAGACCACTTCACCTTATCTACGAGCAACAGAATTACTCAAGGGTGGAACCCATTACATCTACTCTCAGAAGTAAAAGAGTATGCCCACATGTTTCAGTAATTACTTTTCCTGTGTATTTATAGGTTGCTTGTCTTGTTGGATATCTTCAGCAATCATTTTCTTCTGTCTATAACATACTACATCTACAGAACTTTAGAATCTCATTTCAACCTAGACAAGCTGGTTATGCTATGATCATATTGGCAGTTTACACCACACTACCTTCTGCTTGAAGATCGCACTTCGCTCCAGTGATATCAGAGATGGAAGCGGTGTAATGATGCTAGTACTATCAGGATGGTATTGCAACCTACGCAGCCATCGAGAGACCGCAAACCCAGAGTTCATATTAAAGAAATGAATAAATCAGTTGATCTGACAGAGGATGATTGATTTGGAATACGGTATAGAATTCCTTCTCTTACTTATTTTGCTTGGTGTAAAAATTTCAGAATTCTAATCACTCAGGTTTTAGTTTACTTTTATTAGTTATTTTTAACACGACGCCCCCACAAGGGTCTTTAGTTTGCATTATTACCTATTACACTTGCTTACTTAGCATAACATAACTAAACAAGACTAACATGGACAAGGAGAAACATCCTATATGTCAAAAAAAGATACAAGTTTGAAAGAAACAACCGCAGTTCTAAAAGAAACCACGGGCGATTGAAGTGCCTAGGCGGCATGAATTCAAGGCCTAAAACGACATAAAATTCAAGCAGAATCAACATGATGTACAGAGTGAAATGCCTAAAAGAAGAATATTCAGAGAAACAAAGTTCAGGGTTATACACTGTAAGTAATAACACATGAATCAAGCATGATCAACGTGATGTACAGATTGAAAATGAAAATCCAAATTGCAATTGCATCATGAGTAAGATTGCTTACCTATGCAAAGCTGGGTCATCGGAAAGCTTTCCTCTTGCTTTAAACCAATAATTCATACTGAAATGCAAGGACAATTCTACCAAACGATAAGATGAATAATAAATGATAATTAAGAAATTTAAAAGCAAAAACAAAAGGCCAGTTTTTATCTAACCGTGGTGGAGGAGGACTTGAAGGATGGAGTTCGCAAAATCGCACCTCTATGGGCCAGGGAACAAATACTTTTCTAGCAACCATATTTCGATAGGATCTAAATAATAAATAAGTGTAAAAACCCCAAGTAAAATGAAAAAAAGGACAGCCCAGTAGGAAAGTTCAATTCAAGACTTATTTATAACATGATCATCAAGCATGAAAGTATGCATCTTAAGGGGTAGATTAGCAAACTGGCAGAATACAACCCTGAGCTAGAATTCTTGACCGGTCATGAAAAAATATTATTCAATACAGTGTACAACACAGCAAATTTTACCTCTCCTAATGGGGAATAGAAACTAAAGACAAGTGTGATGCATAGAAAAAGATATAGCTCAGTATGTTCCTATAAGAAACAGCCGCAGTACTTCTTAAGAAAACAGTTTTAGCACCCAAGAAAAGGCAACATAATTTGAAAATGCAAAAAAAATAAAAGATAATGAAAACTAGTCAAAATGTCAATGTATTTGGTGCAAGAGAGTAAAGATAATTGGGATATCACCAACACTAAATAGACAGAAGGAAAACAAAGTTTCCAGAGATAAGTGAAACTAATGTGAACTCACTGATTGTAATTAATTAAAATTGCTACGAAATCCTTTAGATGGTTGTTTTCCATAGGCCTTACATTTACACCTACATGGCATAGTAAAGGGCTAGAGCTTCTTACATGTCAATTAATACTCGAGGCTTTCTTCCCCTCGTAGACAAAGATTTCTTGCCAAATTTACACCAATATGAAATTGCTATCAGGTTAAGGATTATCTGTAAACTAGTACCAAATCATCATGGATCATACCAAGAAGAAACCATTGCAAATAGATGGAAGTGTTTGTAAAGTCATTCGATGTGTGTGGCTTAACTGACTAGTTGATGGCAATTAAACATATACTTTTTAAGATTGGGTTTTTACCTATATAACCCAAAACCTATCTTATTTGCCCCAAATTTGAGTATTTGCTAATATACTCCTACATTCTTTGACATGAGTTAAGATACGCCTCATTGAATACCATAAAATTTCAAACTGAAGAGATAAAATGACATATCTACCCCCTCTCCCTAAAAATTATGTTTTTTTCTTATATACCCCTAAATCCACCTATTTGCTGATTTACTGCCCAAATATGCAAGTTACCCCTATGAATTTTAACGGTGTTAAATGAGAGTAGTATGAAAATCCAAAGTGGGAGAGCGCAGCGGTAAATAGCAAATATACAGATTTGGCAGTAAATCTTCATATATGATAGTTTGTGGGGTATAAAGACAAAAAACCCTTTTAATATTTGTCCAAAACAGGCAGCAGCAAATTCATTACATGCAGAGGAGAAAACAACAAAAGCAAACACACTATAACAATAGCTTTCCAAATTCTAATGAAAGTTACATTGGAAAGCGAGGATCCATGAGGCGTCTCTCTCGTAGCTCTTCCATTGATGGTAGCTACACAGAAATTAAATGTGTTAAACAATAATAGCTTTAAAATTCTATAAATAAATTAAGGACATACTTACCTCCTCTGGAGATGGCACCTGAGGCATGAAAGCTTCTTGATGTTCAAAGCCGACTTCTTCTTTCTGCAGCAAACATATTTGATGCAGAAGTTATGTCAAATTGGATTCTTGTGATTGTTCGCTCTGTAAATGAACATTTTAGAGCTTGTACTAAGTTAGGATCAGCTTAAAAGTAGTAGCTTTAAAATGAAGTGAAAGTAAAGTTATTTAGCATTTTAAGTTTCTTGAAACTAGTTCCATTTTGTGGTCAAAGAATCTCTAAAGTAATATCTTGTCAAGAGTTCGGTGAGGTTTAGTGATTCACGTCAATACGGAGAGTCAAGTGTAAGTCATCAATGAAAGTAGGTCATCAAGAAATCCGTTCTTAAGTAATCAACATTTGTCCTCTTGCTCGTCTATATAGTAAGGTCATTCATAAAAGAGTCAGTAATCAAGTCATTAAAGTAAGTAAGGACAGTAAGTCATTAAAGATATAGTTAGATCTAAGAACAGCCGTAAAGCTGGAAAGAACAAGAGCATCGAGTTCGAAAGAAGAAGACTGCAGTGCCTTAATAACCTAAGCAGATGTCTACAGCTTATCCCATTTCTAAAAGAAGGTTTGATTTAAGTGCTAGTGCAGGACTTCGTCAGCAGTGGTTCGTTTAGCAAGCAGTCTTATTGCTTGAAAGCACACACAGCACACAGTAGGAGAGTTCGAGTGTGAAAGCAGTCTACTCATGTCGAGCCGCCCGGTGGTGTGGTACGTAGTGGTAATAGTACGCGCCCCGCTCCGAAACAAAGAAAAAGGTGTGTGCCGCACTCATGAGGGACTGCCAGTGAGATACTGGAGGAAGGTGGGGATGACGTCAAGTCCGCATGGCTCTTATGGGCTGGGCCACACACGTGCTACAATGGCAATGACAATGGGAAGCAAGGCTGTAAGGCGGAGCGATATGGGCTGGGCCACACACGTGCTACAATGGCAATGACAATGGGAAGCAAGGCTGTAAGGCGGAGCGAAGGGAATTCTTCTTTTTTCTTTTCATACTTTATTCACCAACTTCATTTTCTTTCTCATCATCTTTTTTTACTTTTTCTTCTTTCTGCTCTCTTCTATATGTTTGGGTTAAAGCAACAGATTTCGTGGAGTTAATTACTTATTTGTACGTGGAAACCTCACACAGTCTCACGCTTTGATTAAATTCATATAATTGGTGCATACATTCAATTCCTTGGTTCTACTGCTTGTTCTACAGTAGGTATCATTGTTTACAGCTTCCATATAATTCAGACATCTGGGTTCAGACTTCAGAGTAGTGCTAAATAAAAATGTTATCAGAAACCAATATGACAAATTTTAGGCCATTAAATATGGTTAGCATAGTCAGCTCAATAAACATACATTTAAAAAGTTTATTAACAACTTCACCCTATGATGCTTCGAGGTCATCATGTAAGGTTATCAAGAGATTGTTTACCGTAGCTTATGAATGTAAAATCAAATGATTCAATAATTTCAATCAAATGATTCAATAATTTCAATCTTGTTCTCATCAATACTTCATTGGAACTAATTGGATGATAATACGTATGGACTATAAAATTTGAACAAAGTTTATGTGTTAGAAGAGAGTATGAGTATTAGTTTTAGTATTAGTTTAGTCCCACATTGCCCGTGAGACTAATTTGTAACTAATTCATCTCTATAAATAATAAAGTATATAGTGAGGGGAAGTACTCCCAAGAAACTATTTTCTCTCCAAATCTTAACATGGTATCAGAGTCTATCCTTAACCCTAACCCTAATACTAATTCAAATTCCTAAGTCTAACCCTAACCCTAAAAAGCCACCTCTCTCCATTATCCTAGCCACC